AGAGCAGCAAGCACTTCGTTTAGGCCCGCTTCAGGCGGGGCAACTTGCCCAGCAATTTTGAGGTTGCTGGCGGTTTGTTCCCTAGCTTTCCGTAGATCGACGCGAATTGCTGAGATCGGGTCCGGCTCGAACAAGCGAGCAACTCGGAACAATTCGAAGACGTTTGAAGCGGCTGCAGCCAATCAGGGACGCGATATTTTCACGTGACACCCCTGTGGTGGTGATGATGACTTCACGTGACACCCCTGTGGTGGTGATGATGACAGCTAGAGACCTAGTGCTGGTTTGAAATCGATCGTTTTTGTAAATAAACATTTTCAGAAAAAGGAGTTAGTATTCTCAACGCTGTTCAAACATATAAGAACACGTTTTTAGCGCGTAGCTGGGCGTCTAAATACTGAAAGAAAAATCAAATTTAATGATGATGATGGCAAGTCGGAGCAATTCGGTTGCTGCGTGTGAACGCGGGCGGCCTGTGTTGCTGGTATAGCAACGTCAAGTTGCTGGGTGAAATTGCTCCGTCTGAAGCGGGCCTTAGCAGAACTTGGCAAGCGACTGAAGATTAATGATTGGGCGAAGTTGGCTATTCATACTTATACTGTATATAATATACCTATATGTAATAACTTGGCAAACGACAAATGCTCTGGTCGCAACGAGCAGAATCGCAGCGAGGCAAGTGAAACATTGCGAATTTCACGGGAGTGTGCACTCTTTCGGTGGAGAGCTGTTAGTGATTATCTCTGTCGTCCACATTGACTCAAGCAAGCCGTAGCATTCGCACTTTGTCAAGTTGTGCTGGAACGGAGAGGTAGCGCAGAAAAACATGAAGAATGCTGCAACTTCTCGCATGAAGCATGCTTCGTCTGCTGTATGTGATTCATGTCTGCAATCTATGACGTTGTAGCCATGTCATTCAATGTTTCAGAATTTAGATCACCTTATTAGTATTTTGGTGTTATCAGCCATTTGTTTTTGACGGGATTAGAGCAACCAAGAGACTTAGTGAAGAATATCTGGGGCGTTTGGCCCATTTTAGCGGTTCGAAAGGTCGCACAGCTATGTTGGTAAGCAATTGTCATCATCATGAACGATTGCGTTACATGTGGCCCCTCTTCTGCCGAGAGCGAACCTGTGACATCATAGCATATGCTGGACTTGTTCAGTTTGCATAGTCGAGGTGGATTCTTCCTAATGCAATCATATTTTGCGTAGTTGCACAGGATGCGGGACGTGCTTACGACTTGGCTTGGACTTATGAACACATCATCAACATGTCCTTCAGTGGGGTGTATATTTCCAGTTGAACTGGTGTTTATCCACCAGTGGCCAGTTCTGAAGCTCTCAGGCTGCAACACCGTTCATGCGCGTGTTAGATCCGGAGCATGCGGGGCTAAAGTTCCGGAGCATCGTACTTGATGCAAATAAAGCTCCGAACGTTAAAAAAAAGCAGGTTTGATCTGCGTAACCCTACAGATGTTTTAAAATTTTGTTTACAGTATATTTCTACAAAAGATTGACCAGGTGCATTGCAGCACCTGGCTACGGACGCCTCGTTAGTCGTCCGTGCAGTTTTGAAATTATAGCATGCATTTCTAAATAGCGCTGATTTTGAGATAAAGCAAGGCATGTTCTGTTGTTTGTGCAGTTTTCCAATTGCAAAGGAAAAAGAAAAAGTCATAGAAAGGTGAAAACGTGAAGGGAACGTGTCGTTTAGAGATGCGAAACGTTCAGGGGGCATTTGAAAAAACACGAGTAACTGCAAAAAACAAAAAAAAAATATAATACCTTAGCAAACAACAACAACAACAACAACTTAGGAGCAGACAGTAGAAAGGGGACGGACAGAATAATTCTCTGCCCATTTCCTCGGATTCACGTTTTGTGTTGTCCCTGGCATTTTTTTCCCTATGATCCTGGGTGACTTATTATGCCTATCTCAAATCATCTTACCCTAAGTTTCGTTCTTATGTACTTGTTTCATATGACGACAGAAACGGGTATTGTTTCAGTTTCTGAATCCATGCCAATATGTCTGCTTTGAGAGGCTGCTGCTTCCCAGCATCTCGGTGAGGACGCATCCCGACGGCACGTTGTGCACGGTAAGTTAAAGCTGCCCAGACAGACTGGTTAAAATAAGGAGCTTCACTAACAAACCCCATCATAACACCTTTTTCAGATTGACGACATTCACACCATGGCGCAGTTATAGCGTCAGTTTGATACTGTCTCAGATGGCATGCGGAAAGTGCGCTACAATTGTATTATGTCATGGATGAAGAAAGAATAAAACAGACGAGTAAACTTTCAACAGCGAGCAGCCGACTATACCCATGAGCAGAAGGCGGGAGAAGGGAAGATAAGAAAACGCGAAATGCAAGTCAGAGTGGTGGGCTTATCTCGGATTTTAGAAATTCAACCTCAGTTTTCGTCAGCAGGAGGGAAGGCTGCAGATTCGGCAGGGAGATCATAGAATCATTCGCCATGACGACAACAAAAACAACGTGTCAAACCCTTCCCTCCTGCTGACGAAAACTGAGGATGAATTTTTAAAATCTGATATAGGCCCACCACTCTGACTTGCACTTCGCGTTTTCTTATCTTCCCTTCTCCCGCCTTCTCCTCCTGGATATAGTCAGCTGCTCGCTGTTGAAAGTTTACTCGTCTGTTGCTAGTTGAAAGATGTGGTTGTGTTGTCCCTGTTTTAATTGTTTTATTCTTTCCTCTTCCATGACTTAAACCAACACGCTCTTCTACCAAGCAGAATTGTATTATATTGCATTGAAATCTGTGAAAAAATAGTTTACTACCTCCGCCTACTATTTGTGCCTACTTGAGCAAGAACTTTAATCTCGGCTATGCAATAAACTGTGAATGCACCGGGATATTCATGCTCGAAATAGACAAAATAAATATTGTAACCTATCCACATTACATAATAAATATCCGTATAGAATCGTGACATTTATAGTTTATATCGTAAATCACAGTGCATACTTTTTGTATACTATGTATTAAGTTATGTTAACCTTTTAGTTAACGTAATTTCTGCATATCTGGTACTCTAAATTTTTTTTCCTGTTTCTCTGTCAACCCAACAAAGATTGACTTCGTGGTTCCGGCATCTGTACTTGCAGATGCAAATAAATGATTTCATTTGATCTGATTTGAACTGCCTTGATTGCTATTCAACAGTGATGATTCAAGTATTTGTATTTGCCAACATGCTTCCCGTTTATATCTCCAAAGAAAAAGCACAAATAACACGAGAGATCGACAAAAAAGAGGCGTATTTTAGACAAAGAAATATGTTAATATACTTGATTCATAATACACATTTCTAGCATGTTGCTTTATTTTCAGACAGACGCAACTCAGAGAGGTTGCATTATCAATCTGGTTTATATTTAATTTATTTCAATGCTCTTAAAATGTAAAAACGAATAAGAGCGACGTTGTTCCAAGCTCGATTGAGTCTGACACGTGCTTTTTTTATGTTTTTCCTTCAGTCTGCGTTTGGAGTGCTGGAGATTGGATCCTGTCGCAATGGCACCTGCGTTCAGTCCCCTTCGGAGTCAACGGTCCAGCCCGTATCACCCACCAGCCAACATACAACACCACATGCCGTGGAAAAGTCACCTTGAATTACTATTGACAGAAACCATGCCAGTTTTGATCCGTATTATACACTGATGCTTAGAGGACGACTAGCTGATTTAGAAATTTTAGGATTTAACACGTTCAATGTAATATTTTGACGGGCCTAGTCGGCGGAACCAAGCGCAGGCAGAAATACAGAATCAGAATTGATAGTCCTCCTAAGGTCGCGTTTTTTTAATTGTATTTTGTACGTGAGTTGCATATAGTTGTTCTGAATCTAGCAATATGTTATACTAAAGCTGCCAATCTAGATATAATTGGAAGTCTAAAGCAGCCCAATAAAATGCATCAAAGCTTACCATTATGTTAAAACACCTGAGACTGGGTGGGAAAAAACAAACGAACTTGAAACAAGCAAAACTAGAAGAGACACGGAAAGAAGTCAGTCAGACGACGTCTCAAGAGAGACGTTGTCAGACTGAGATCTTTGTGTCTCTTGGTGTACCATTATGTTAAAACACCACTCTCAGGTGTTTTAACATAATGGGAAACTTACACCAGCCCGCCTGCGCCCTCACTGTGTTTAAACCAAAGCTCTTGTATCCTACATAATATACTGCTGCCCGTTTACTTATCTTTGTAGCTAGGTTGTTGCTGCCGTGAGTGCTCGCTCATTATGCTTATACTCTTGAGTTGATGGTACGTTTTACAATAAATATTAATACTATTATTATTTTTGTAATATGCACAGTTTCAGGGTTAGGAAGAAATACCCTTCAAAAGAATTTGTACAAATACTGGGATATATGACAAAGACTGCTACAATACAGACCTTGAATTACATTTACAGTAAGGTTACGTATCAGGAATACATTTGGACATATAAACGTATTTGGGAACACAAATACAGAAATACATTTGTCTGCGACAGAGAAACATGTTTTTCAGGTTCAGAATTATGAATATTGAAACACATTTTCGAAAAAGTGCTATTTGTGATGATCTTTTACTTTATAGAACTGGTTGTGGTGCACTCGCTCTTGTATACGAAAAACATAAAAAAGAAGCATATATCTTCCACCATAGTCTAAATCATTATATGATATGTTTGAAACCAACAAACGAGTACCTGCTGCAATATTCAGCCTTATCTTCGACGTTAACGTTTTTGCGTTTTAGTAAATAGGATATGTGAGTGCCAGGTGTATTGATGGTTTCTTTATAGGTAAAGTGTTATGGTAACGCAGAAATTTGATTTTTTAACTTGTCAATTGTTCCTCGGTTTGGCGTGGTTCATATCATATTCGAATCAAATAAGAAAATTTATTGTTTGTCATAAAATACCGCAATGTACCAGGTTAGTAAGATGAACATTTACTCATTTATAGTTATCGCGGTATTTTGCAATGAAGTATTTTGATGTCATCCATCCTGTGGGTGGTCCTTATAGTATTTGTAGTGCAAAAGACTTGAAGGGCATTCTTCGACTTATCTTTCTCGAAGGCCTTCGCTAGAAAGGGGACGATAAAAAATGACATTTAAAACTGATAACTGTACATATACTCCAAATGCACTACTAAATGAACATTCGGTAATGTACAAGGGCAGCGTAGCCAGAAACAATAATTCATTATTTGGTATAAAATGCTCCGATTAGACAGGGTGATAATTTTAGAAACCAGAATCAACAAAATACTGGGAAAATGTGTTAGAGTATCATTTATCCCTGACGCTAAGTTGGAGGCCACGAGAGTCAATAGAAAAAAGACGAAAGGGGTTGATTAGGTAGATAACGAATAAATACCTCAAATTATTTTTTAAAATTTTTATGATGACGGCATAATGTAGTTGAAAAATTGTCGCTGGACTTAATTATAGTCTAGCCATGAGGTGAAGTGTCGGTTAAATTTCACAGTGGGCGCTACGGGGCGACAGATGTCATTGCACGACTTCAAACGGAAACTGCGCAGGTAGAGCGCGCCCGTGACGTCGATTCTTTTGCCCTGCGCCCACTCCGCAAACCATCTGTCTGCACCGCAGGTAGAGTCTGCAGCGCGAGGCAAGCGCAGAGTGGAGAGATCGACGTCACAAAGGCGTTTATTTATTTTTCCTGTATGAATCTGTGCACAAGGATGAAATCGGTCGCCCCGTAACGCTCGCTATGAATTTTGTTTTTATAAAAATTTCACATAAGGGTTAAACTACTATAATGAAATCGATCGTCAACTCTTCAACTGCCTTATTCCTCTCCCCTCCCCCAATAAAGAAAAGAAGGCAAGTAAAGTTTTCTTTTCTATTTATTAGCTAGCTATATTCTCCGAGATGTTAAGAAGGTTAAGAGTCGCAGAGCGTGCCGAATATTGAGCATTTTATTATGTCTTCGCAGCCAATGAGCTCGCCGCATTGGCCGATAAGGACGGCGATTATAGAAATTACGACGCAGACATTGGCAACGTAATAGCCACGTTCTTCATTTTCCCAGCTCTGTGAGACAATTTTTTAACCAATTTAGCCTGTTCTACAGCATGTAAACTAACGCTTCTAGGCACCCATAAAAATCGGCTTCTCTACGTATCACGCTGAGATTCACCGCAGAGGTGCGGCAGGGCGGTGGAAGCATGGAATAAAAATATCAACGATTGAACTTGCATTGTTAAAAAAAAGAATAAAAATGAAAGACGTTTACAATTCTCTGTAGTGCCGAGCGCTGCTAATGAGGAGGAGATAGGGACGGTATGGAGGGGAGAGTATGCTCTTCCTCCCTTCCGTACCCTCCCCTCGTCCTGGCCTGCTGCCCTCCCATTTAGCGGGAAATTTACGCTAAATTTCCCCGCTAAAGTTAGCAGAGTGGGAAAATTTCCGCTAAATTTCCCGTTGAATTTAGCAGGAAAACTTCCACACTAAATTTAGCAGAAAAATATTTTTATAAATTTCCCGCTAAATTTGGCGAAAAAAGGCTTCCGCTAACATTAGCGAGAAAATTTTTCCGTCATATTTAGCAATAAAATTTCCCGCTAAATTTAGCGGTAGCGTTTCCCCGCAAGATATAGCGGGAAAAGAGTTGCGGTAAATTTAGCGGGGAAATTCAGCGAAAATTTTCATGCTGAATTTAGCGCAGAAATTTTGCGAGAATTTTCACGCTATATTTGGCGGGGAAGAGTTCCCATAATGGAACGCGCGGTTATGCCCGCTTGCATTATTCCCCTAATGTAACGCGCGCAGTTACGCCGACGGCGACGGCGACGCCGCTCAAACTGGAAACGGGCGCCTAAGAGCTGTGCTCTAAAAACCTTCTTCGGGCTATCTACCGCGGCGTTCGGAGACGACATGATGAGCTTGCTCACTTAGTTGTATGTGCTACCGAAAGATGGCGCAACGGGAGACACGAGAGTAATGCAGTGCCTCGGCCAATCATCATCCTACCAAAAATAGGAATCCATGAAGGATTTAAATCCTTGTTTTCTTCTTAAGTTTATTTTTTCTTAATAAATTATCGCACAATTAGAAGTATACGTTAGAGAGGCACGCGCCGGGCATAGTGAACAGTTTCCGAAGACGTGTGCCGGCTTAGTGAAACGTTTCCAAAGATTATTAAGCTCGGCACCGGCGCGCTCGACGCTTCCGACATCTGTCTGGGGCAGATTTAGAGGGACACCTACAAGGTATTTATGCTCGTCAAGGTTTTTATCTGTACATGACATATGAGAGCCCAACTACACAGGCTACAATTTGCGGCTCGAAATTCCTTTTGTTTCCGCCCGAGAACCGCCAATCGAGAGCTGACCGGTTTCCAGTCGCGCTCCCTCTCTTCTCCTTGATCACGTGCCGTTTTTTATGCTTTAGACACAACCACCAGAGATAATCAAAGTCGTGGGCCATCGAAGGCACACACTCAATACTAAAAATACGCAGAAAACATGATACCTATTTTTTACATGATGATTGAAACCTGAGACTGTGGTTTTTCAGACCACAGTTTCAGGTTTGAAACCACAGTCTCAGGTTTTAAAAACCACAGTCCCTTCCGGGTGCGGTGGTGACGACCTTGTGTTTCTATTTAGGTTTGAACTTGTGTTCTGGGTGAAGATGGAAGCGATAGGGCACACTTCCCTTTTTTTTTAATATATATTGCTTGCCACCACCACAACGGATGATCACCGAACCACAAACAATACACCGAACAGCAAAGCAAATTGTTGTGTGTATGTTTATACAGCCGTAAGTTAATCTGCCTCAATTGGCACCAGACGCGTAATGAGGCAGACCGACTTCCGTCTGTATAAACATGCACACAACAATTTGCTTTGCTTTGCAATTTGGTGTATTGTGGTTCTAGTGTATTGTTTTTGGTTCGGTGATCATCCGTTGCGGTGGCTGCGACGTTCGGGGGAGGGGTATGTGAGGCGTAGAGGCAATAAAGTTTTTAGCTGAGTTTGATAAGTTGTATGTCACTTTTTCTTCCTCTTTCACGAGTTTCCGTTTTTCAAGCCACAGTCTCAGGTTTCAATCATCATGTATAACTCACACCAGCTCGCCTGCGCTTCACTCGTTTTTTCATTGACCCCCTTTTTGTGGCTCCTAAAAATCTGCAAATACGTTGATTAAGAAAACAAAAGTTGCAAGGCTACGTGACTTCCAATATTTTTCTCCTCCTCTATAGTTCTTCTTCCTCCCCAGTCCAGTTTCGGTTTTGGTTTCGAGCAGTCGTGTTTTTTTTACTTATTAAAAATATACGTGACATTGTAACAAATGTTGTTTGTTAGTCCCCTGACGCCATAATCGCCAAAAAAAAAAGAAAAAAAAAGCTTTCAGGGGTGTCAGTGTCCCTTCCTTTAACTACGCGAGCCCCGTAATAACGTCCTCTGCGAATGCCGCAGTAGATAGCCCGAAACAGTTTTTTATTTTTTTTTATTTTTTGAACAAGGTAAGCTCATTCGTTGATAATTTCATCCCATGCTTCCATCAGCTGGTTGCACCTCTGCAGTAAACCGCAGCGCGAAACGTTGAGAAATTTAATTTTGTGGGCCGTCTAAAAGCGCTTTGAAGCGTTTGTTTACATCCTATATAGTGGCCCCCATGACCACAATCCTAGCCCCGAGGCTAAAAAAAAAAAAGAAAAAAACCGACGCACAAGTTCTTTTTTGAAAACATCCTGATCCTATAAAAAACAACAACAAAAAAACTTGCATATGAACTACAAAGCAAAAGACCGACTATCTCTTTAGGTCAACATATTTCAAATCAAGTCTATAAATATCATGCGATTTCCTTTTTACTAGTAATAGCAGCGCCGCGACACGGAGAGGCGCTCTTTTATGAATGCAGATTTTGTCTAGCATTCGATGTTACGAATTGCTCGAAAAATTGAAAACTAAGAATGCCAAATTCTAATAGAGATATTCAGTTAATCAATATTCGACTCGAATTCGAAACTTGAATATTCGCGCAACCTTAATATTTTTATCCTCTTTATTCGCACAGCCTCCTCCGTACATTGTAGTGATCGGTTCTCACAACTGCGTTTCAAGGAAGTAGACGGACTGGAGTTTATTGGGTCTAATCAAAATATTTTAATTTTTTCATTAGAATTTTTACTCAAAACGTACCTTTTTACTACGTCACTGTAAACAATAACAATGCAAAATGAACAACATGCGGTAAAATTTATCCTTTGGTATGATTCATACCTGAGTTTCTTGGACTCAAAGGCCAATTAATGTTTTGCTTACAACTACGGTTTCGTTTGAACCAAGGGGAACACACGTTCCGTTTATACACTGCCCCACTGTAAGTTCCGTCTTTTCGGAGTCCATATTGTTGTGATATGCCTGGGTTAAATACAAAGTCAATCTTACACGTGTGAGCTACTTTTTTTTGTGCTAAACTTCAAAACTTTATTTATGAGATTTAAAACATGGATCAGAATTAATTGGCGGGCTAGTTGGTTGTACATCTAGACGGTGGTTTTAAAAGCGCAAAGGACTAAGAAGAGAAGGAGGGGACAGGACAGAGCGCTTACTTACAACTGCCAAATTTATTAGAGCATCTAGATGCTCTATTAAATTTGACAGTTGTAAGTAAGCGCTCTGTCCTGTCCCCGCCTTCTCTTCTCAGTCTTTTGCGCTTTCAAAACCACCGTCTAGAGGTAAAACTTGGAAAATGTTTTGAAACAGAAAATAGAATATGAGTCACGGTGAAGTAGCCCTCGTTCCTAAAGATGATAGGTAAACAACGTTGCTACAAGAGCAGGAGCCAGGACTAATGGTGAATTACACTCGTCACTGATGCTTTAAGAAACGCAGGATATGGTAGTCTTCGAGCATTCATTATCGCTTCGCAGTATAAGGAGTACAAGGAACAGAGCCCAGCTCATTGTGGGGTGAAATTAACATTACGCGTTTTTTGTTTTTATATTAACAGGCGCTCATATTGATAAAAAAAAAAGCATCAGGGAAGCACTTCTTGCTCTCTGGGATGTAAGAAAATCCGTGCGTTTGTGAGAAGTGGCGTAGTAACGCCAACGCTTTCTGAGACTTTTAGTGGGTAGAAACGTTTCCTCTGTCGCAGTGCCTATTTTGCAACGTAGAATAGTCACTCACAAATTCGGATAGGCAGAAAGGTGGCGAATTTCGAGCATCTTATTAGCGCTCTGTAGCCAAGAAAATTGCGGAATTAGCCGATAAAAATACCGAAGAACGTATCCCACAGGTATTGTTACTAACACTGTGATAAACAAAGGGCATGGCTTGTTCTTATATATATTCGTGTACCCATAGTGCCTTGAGGCATTACAGTAGGGGGAAAACATTTGGGGCTGAAGGAGTAATAGTTGAACAACCTAGGAATATAACAAATTACAACAGCAGAGAACATATTGTATTATACAACAGATAATATAAGAATCAGCAGGTTGTATTAAGACATTTATACAAAGAAACTAGAAACACTACGACGTCACTGCTAAATAAAACATGTAAGCCCGTACTTCCCCGTTAGAGAACGTTACTATTCTCACGATTGCAAAAAGTTTGCAGTAACTCTTAGAAAGCTTAGACAAGAAAAGAAAGAAAAAGAAATATCAAGCTTGTGTTTGGTTCGCCATATGTACTTTATGGCTCTTTTGACGGGTTTGCATTGCAACCCCCAGTCAATGGAGATATGCGTTATTGCAAGCAGGAGAATAAAATTGTTAATTTCATGCAAGAATTTACAAGGTCTTCATAGCTGGTGACCAGAAACGAAGACAATAGCTACCGAAAAAACACGAGGAACGAAATAGCAGTTGTGAAAAGTTACACTGGCTGGTCTTTGTGGGTTGGTGTCGTTATTGATTCCTGGATCCTCGGGGTTGTGTTATGTTTAGTACTGTCAGACATAGTTAGATCGTAAACTAGTCCATATTTCAAATGAGACGTCATCTAAACTTAAAATGCGGCTTTCTATTAACACAGCCGGTTTCCTGCAATTTTTTATATTTATATTTGTTGATTTTCAAAATAACAGCAAATAAAATGTATTGTGTAACCGTTTGTCACTTTAATAATTATTCCTTGACATACATGGTCCAGAAACTACGAGCATTACGACTACCCGTTTTTTTTTTTTTTACAGAAAATGAATTACGCGCCTTGCCTGTTGACAACTTGACAAGAAAAAAACTTTGACCACCCAGGAAAATTGTTTACAATTATACGCTCATGCGCAAACACGCAATTCATATTACGTGCGTTGATTATGTTTGGGAAATAAAAACAGCGTCTTCATTTTACCATCGTCATGAGAATGTTGGTTTTAATTTTTAGCGAAAAAGGGGAGAAGTGTAGGTTGAGGGATGCCGCAATATTGTTCGGTGAGGTGGACGGTCAGTATTTACTGATTTGTGCCCTCTAACCAACGTACGAAAGTACCTTAGTTACCCAAACCACGTCGTCATAACCACCTTTTGAGTTTTTAGAATCGCGACTTTTAGAAGGACGGCCTCTAGCATAACTCTTCAGTTTTCCAATCTTCAAGTAAATTAGTTTTATAAAAAGGTTTACATACCACGCACTTTATGCAGTCTGGGCGTTTAGTTTCATTTGCCTGTGATTGACAGGACACACAACTTGTACTAAGTAAATACTGAAATAAAAAAAGAAATCACGAACACGTAAACACGTAATTAAAATCGAAAATTGTAAAAATTATAAAAATACATTTTTGTTTGCTTATCTAAAGTAGAAGAAAAACAACCGCTGATATAGCGTTTCAAGTTTTTGGTAACAGCGCTGGAAAGTAGAACTCCGAAATTAACGAATGCTCATAATTTCGTAATAAATAATGGGTTAAAAATGCACTCTTTTATATGAGTGTCGCGCGCCACTTTGTGCTTCATCCTCGTCGCCTTTAAATTCAATGTCGAGAATTTATTAACTAGCGAGACTTTTCCACCCCCGGAATTCTCTGTTTTTTACTTCATTAGCCAGGCGAATCCTATATGTGGCGGGCATTTTGGTGACCAGTGAAAGGGTGTGTAGCACACCATGAATTGTTCTTAACGAACAGCGAAAGTACATTTATCTTGGATAGAATTAGGAGAGCGTGTTGGTTAAACATCTTGGTATGCGAACTCAAAAGAACACAAAAGACACACAGAAACACGTGTTTATTGTGTCCCTTGTCTCCACTTGCGTTTGTATACCAAGATAGATCTATCTGGCGAACGTAAATAAATAGTTCTTTAACGCGGCTGGTAGAAGAAAACGCAATCGAATCACCGATGGAAGTGAATGTTATGCCTGGCTCATATGAACTGTTATTTATGATCATCCCTAGGGACGATCATTCCCGTATAATTCATATGAACTTTAAGTTAATTATAAATTACAGCTTTTTATATTGTACTTCAATTTTGTTTTTATTTACTGATATATTGCTTATCAGCTGGGAACTTGACGTTAGTAGTAAGGTGTGCATATATCCTTTTAGGTCAATTCTTAACTTCTTCTAACATATTGTGGGAGAAGCGCAAAAGTCTTTGGATATATTTTTACAAAGAAGACTTAATTTATTAACAGTTGATGACCCCTTTTTGGTAAAAAACTCACATGAAGTCATCAGCTTCCTACAAGAACACAGTGCCAACCAATACCAGGCTTTCTCGATTGACATCAAGGACCTATACTATGCTTTACCTCAGGAAGACAGCATTGACTCGTATGGTGCCATAGCTTCCCAGAACACCTCAGGACTTTCCCAAAGCAACTTTCTTGATTTGCTTAGGTTTTACCTCAGGTCTACTTTTGCGTGTTGGAACGGTAACGCCTACCTTCAGAAGAAGGAAGTCTGCATCGGATCCTGCGTTGCGCCAATTCTCAGTGATTTATTCCCAGCATACCACGACAGACTGCTTCAAAAGAGTTTAGGTTTCTCGACTGTGGTAAAGGTGTTTTGCTACGTTTATGACTATTTGGTACTCCTGAACACCAACGAAAAAGACTTCCCGACTCATGTGCCCAATGTGCTCGTCAAGTTTAAAAGATGTCTAAACCCTTTGGAGATTACACACGAGCTACCAGAGCTAGGATCCTTAAGATTTCTGGATCTAAGACTATCTTCAGCCCCGTCATGTCTGTTGGTCGTATGAGCCGAGAAAGAAAAAAACACTCCTAAATTATAATTCGGCGCATTCTAAATTGGTAAAAAGAGGCATAGTCAATCAGGGCTTAAAATACTCTATTTTGAAGTCCCGCCCGCATTCAAGCCTAACAAGCTTCGCAGGACAAGTATTTAGGATACTAAATGCGGGATATCCCTCATATCTATTAACTTCAGTCGCCGAAAGTCTCCTTAAACAGATCTAAAAGGGTCAAATCACATCCCGCAAGCCACGCGACAGATACAGTGACCAAAGACCGGTAGTCATCCCCTACATTCATAGCATTTCTCATAACCTGAAGAAGATTGGTAATCGCGCAAATATAGATTTAGTCTATTCCGCCCCCATCAAACTCTCAGGCGTATGTAAAAAAGTTAACGCCATACCAAAAACTAATCCCGGCTGCACTAAAAAGCATAGAGCCCCATACATATCTAGCTCAGAAGGAGTGATTTATTCCTTTCCCCTTTCATGCGGCAAACAGTACATAGGACTAACTGGAAAGTGTATAAATGACAGATTAAAGCAACATAAAAACAGCACACGATTAGCAAACTCAGGACTTTTGGGCATTCACTGCCGTGACTGTGGATGCACTGCGGACATCAAAAATAGCACCATAATTGGAAAGAACCATCACCAATTAACACGTGAAATAATAGAGGCAGCTAACATCATAAAAGGAGTGATACTTGTGTTAGCAGTTCATCCATAACGCTAACTAAAAAAGAATTATTATATCTTGACTCTCGAAGGTTGTGTGCGCTATAGATGCTTTGCACACGCGCCAGATTACAGCCGCCATAGCTGACCTTCTCTTGCCTTACCGATATGCCGATCCACTGAAGCAGGCGCTGACGAGCCTACACAAACGCCAATGCTACGGAGAAGGACACAGTGCAAACTAAAATGGCAATAACCTGTCTTGCTGTGGTAATCATGAAGTGAAGTAAAGGGAATAAGATGAAACAAAAACGGAAGGTCAGTTATGGCGGCGCCCATGCACAGCTGCTGCAAAGCGTCTATACTCTGTTTCGCCTTGTGTTGTACCGCAGGAAAGGCTACATGCGCGAGCTCCTTGCTCTAGGGCACATCTCGGCGGCACAAGCTCCCGTGCACCAAGGGCAGCTGCCAACGGTATGAGCTCGCGCAGCCTTCGCTGCGGTACAACATAAGTTGAAACGGATTATAGACATTGCTATTTGTTTGTACAGAAGAGAACGAAGTTTAATACGGGTAAAAGAAAAAGAAAGAAGACGAAAATACAATTTGAGTTGTAAGTCAGCGCGACGTGAGTGACTGTTTTTCTGGTGTGCGTGCATTTTCTGCGTGAGTGAGTTTACTTTTGCGCTTTTCCCACAATATGAATATCCAACTCACCCAAGCATCCATTCTAAGAAGGATCTTCTTCTAACAGCCGATAGCATACAAATGCATGTCAAACAAACCGATAAATTCAATTTATTGACCCCCTTGAAATGCATTCTTTCTGCAGTCAATGCTACAGGTGTACAAACTCTCATATTGCATCCACAGATATATAATGTCATATTTTTATAACTAAAACAAATGAACGCATGTAAAAGCTAAATCGGAGTACCGAATGTGGTAGATTTTTATCTGTAGCTCGGAAAAGTTATTGCGCATTCTTCGCCTCCAACGGGGGGACGATTGACTCGCTGCTTCCAACCGCAGCTTCTTTTATGCAGGTTCTGGTGTCAATAACATCCTAGGCAAGAACACCCCGTCGATTTCTATATTTAAGTGTAAGGTTTCAGAAGAGTGCCAACATAAAAAAATAAAAGAAAGCTAAAGATGTTAAAAAGAAACGGGGAAGTCATATGTGTTGTTAATTAGGACACATAGACGGCAACAGGTTTACTGTTGCAAATAATTATTTATTTAAAGGTAATCGATTAATTAGTTAAATTTATTAGTTGATGCGAAGCCCTACTTAAATCATATACATACTGCATAAATTATGCGGTGGGCACGGCCCATAACGTATTTAAAATAAACAACGCTGTAATTGCGCTTACTTTTGTCGTGTATAAGGAGAACTGACTTCGTTTAAAATGTTGATCGAGTTCGATAATAATTTTACCTTATTTTTTAACAAAACAAAATGTTAAAAGGTGACAAGTGAAAAAAGCTGTGAAAGCAGTTTTGCTAGAGCCTAGCCTCCCAAACCAGGAGTTGTATGCAGGCATGAAAGGAATTTATACAATGATAAGAAAATGCTAGGAACTTAGACAATAATAATAAAATGAGAAATTCAAAACGCGAGTGAACTACCACACGAAAGACACACCACTATACTAAAGCAATAGCACAATTAAACAATCCACAGAATCATGAATACATTCAGTACATTCAAACCCAGATTGCAAGAAGCACATTAAAAACAAAAGAAACTCAATACAATCATAAATTATTGTAGGCAATTTGGTTTGAAGTAAACAATTCCTGTAAGATGATCACTGATGCTGCAATTGATATTTTGCCAACTCAGCTGATTAAGAGTTTCAGTTCGTAACCCATCTAATTCAATCCCTGTAGGTGACAAATAAAAAAAAAAAACAGTTTCTAGAGTGGTTCTTTTCATGCGGTTGTGCTCGTTCGCGTGAAATAGTGAACGTGACTAATTTCCACTCGACTGATTTCTCTTTCCAATTGCGTCAAAACGTTTATCTTAAACTAAAAAAAAACATTAAAAAATATCCTACTCTCTTGTGAATATGTACAGTACTTCATTGTCTTTAGAACTTCGACCAACTCTAGACATTATTCAGAGACACTTCATAAAAGTCCTCCTAGGGATATTTTTATTTATTCGAGCTCCCACAACTGGACAGTAAAGAATATGGTCATGATTGAATGATAGTGCGAAATATTGCCCGGGTCACTCAAATGCTGACTCAGTGTCAGGGGAGAGAGGTCGGTGTTTGTGGCTTTCGTAAGTCGAGGCTTTTATTGCAACAGTAGCTAAGCTGGCTTCTCTAAGAGCTGTTGATGCTTTGGGGAGGATGTGTCTGGTAACTTATCTTACAAACATTTTTTTCTGCACAAAATGAAACGTTGTTAACACGGTCATTTTCTTTCAATTAAGCATTTACTCGACGTCTCCAGCCCATAAACTTAAACTATGTAGAGTCCTAAAACACTATTACGTGAAAAGCTCCTCTGCGTCGTTTCTGTTTCTAAATTTGCCATGAAATATTTCCGCACATTTTGTTATCAGCTCAAATAAAATATTGCCTTGGGCGACTCACAAGCTACCCTTAATCGGCTCATGGGACCTTACACGAACGCAGGCACCGGGGGCTGACTCGCCCACGCTACTCACGCCTGACATCGCCAATCCCGGATCTCTTCGGGGGATTCTCTCTGTAGGATCGTCACCCGATTGAGCACTCTCCAAGTTAAGATGACGAGGAGTGCGAGCTTTTCCGCCCACTCTGCGGGGTCCCCGAAATCCATCGAA